GCAATTTTAAAACAAATAATCTTTCATTTCCTTACAAGCTTCCTATAGAAATTAACCCCATTGCTACTAAATTTTAAAGCCCCTTTGAGTAGCTTGTGTACCTTCTCGTACATCTATATTTTCAAATGTTAGTCAAATTAAATATTTAGGTAGTAAATACTAGCAAAAAAAGGCCAAACTAACCTTTCAGTTTTATATATCTTGTTTCTTATCCTCATCATAAATACTATATTCAACCTTTGAGCTTTAAATATACTTGTGCTGTGCTAAGGTTAGCACAGACATGAGGCTTATAAAAACCATCATCTTTATAATAAATTTAAACCAAGTTTGCTCTACTAAGATGAAAATAATGGTGGTAACTGTTAAAAAGAAAATTTTTCAAAGAAAGGTCATTATTTGACTAGCTTGAATAAATGGAAATTATTTTTGCATTTTGAAGGGTAAAAATTGAGATGAAACCTAGTGAAATTTATGCAGTGGTGTCTGTGGCAGACTGACAGGTGTAACACAGCATGAAAACCGAGATATTTAATAATTCTACTCAATTTAGAATAAAATTCTTGCAATGTTTATGCTGCTAACACACATGAAAAATATAGAAAATGGTGAGATTGCTTCTGCAGAAGGAACAAATTGTTGCAGTAATGTTATGAATCATCTTTCATGTATACATCACCTTTTTGTGACATGGAGTTTGCCAGGTTACACCCATTTTAAAATATATATTTATGAAGACCAAATGCTTTGTGTTTTGCCATGAACTCTTTAGCTCCTTTTTCAGCTAAGACAGTTTGTTGCAAAATTTGATTGGGAAGGAGTTGTTTTCATCTGTGGCCTCATGGTGCCTGTGACCATGGAAATTCCAAAGTTTCTGATATTCTATGGTACCAAATGGTTAAAGAAGAATAATGTATTGTTTACCTGTTTTTAATATATTTTCCTCATCTGCCTGGAACTTCCTGCAGAAGATACCTGTTTTATTTCTCTGAAATAGATGGGAATGCTAAGACACAACCTTCCAAGGGGATGCTGTCCTGGTTCTAGGTACTTAAAGAGGTAGGTTTAGGTTTTCTTTCACAGAAACACAGAATCACATAATGGGAAAGGTTGGAAGAGTCATCCTAGAGCACACTGCACAGAATGGCATCCAGACAACACTTAAATATCTCCAATGACGGAGACTCCACAACACCTCTAGGCAATCTGTTTCAGTGCTTAGTCACTATTCAGTAAAGAAGTTCTTCCTTTTGTTCAGGTGAAATTTCCTGTACAGCAGTTTCTGCTCAGCACCTCCGAGAACAGCCTGGCTCCATCCTCTTGGCTCTCTCCCTTCAGACACTGACAGACATTGGTGAGGTTCCCTCTCAATCTCTTCTCGAGGCTGAAGAGGCCCAGCTCCCACAGCCTTTCCTCGTAACAAAGATGCTCCAGTCCCTTAAAGATCTTTGTAGCCCTCAGCTGGACCTGCTCCAGGAACCCCACGTGTCTCTTGTGCCGAGGACCTCAGAACTGAATACATTACCACAGATGCAGGGTCCCCAGGGCTGAGAAGAAGGGCAGGATCGCCTCTCTCAACCTGCTGGAAATCCTGATGCCCCCAGGATTCCTTTGGGCTTCTGGGCCACAAGGGCACCCTGCTGTCCTTGCAGTGGCAACAGATACAGAGCTGTGGCTGAGGAAAGTCTGGATAGATCACCTTGCTGGAGGAAAGCTGGAGAGCCCAAGGGCACGCTGTGGTTACTAAGAGTTCTGTGATGCATTTTCATCAATGGCAGTTTTGCAGGGCCACATCACTACATACCTCATTATCTCCCGACCACTTCCTCGTCTTTCAGCTTCTGCCACCTCCAACTCCTCACTCAAGACTACAATTACAACAAATGACTATGACTTCTGATGCTCTTTTGCATCCAGCTTGAGCAGTATAGGAAGGTTATTAAAGGAAGCTCCAAAAAAGCTGTACACGCCTACTGACTATGAACAGGTTTTACTTATGCAGCAAATCAGAGCCTATCCCAGCATCCAGGCTGTGATCAGAACCAGTTTAAGCCTAGGCTGCTTTGGAGAGTATGTCCTAGCTTGAATAAAGCAGGGAAGTATGAAAAAAAATAAGAATTATTCTAAGTAAAAAGTCTTCATATTTGCCTCATGCAAAGAGTACAATCTGAAACTAAACACAGCTCAAGCTTGTGGTTTCTTAACATGGTTAGCTCAATCTCTCTGTGATTGTTGCTTTTATAGCCCCTGAAGAAGTAACTGAAAGTGTTTTCGATATTCTCTAGAAGCATCTGCCACATAAAATTAAAACATAATGTTTCCAGAAAACATTGGTAAATTGGCTTTGCTATCTGTCATTAGAGAATAATGTTTTGTGTTATTTGCAATCTGATATACTTGTAACTTTCTTCTTCATAATAATAATTGTTCTTTTTTCCACCTGAGTAAGCTAACAGAAGGATCTGGGGTTTGAGCTTGTCATTCTCTCTTCATTCACTCTTCCTTTCAACCAGGCACACAGAAAAATAGCTCTTGTTTAACGCCAAAGTACTGGATCCTATCTTTTCAGTGCTGAAAAGAAAAACCACTGACTTTTTTTCTTTTAAAAAGCCACACTTGTCATTCCTGCTGTTCAAACCTAATCACAGATATTTAATGTGTCTGGCAGCCACAAGTGACATTGCTTACAGTCTCTTGAAATATGCACTTCTTAGCTTTAATATCTTTTCACATAACTGTTGCTTGTTTCTTTCATTTAAAAGAGAAAAGTGCTCATTTTTCAATAGTACTTCATTAATGCGAAACAATCTTTTTGGATCTGGACAAGATATCTGTTTGTAAACCTAGCCCCTTCTTGTGTCTTCTGTGCAATTGGCAGGGAAGCTAGCTGGAAGGGGCAGAGCAGGTCACCTTTCCACAGGCCATTGTGCAAGGGCCCAGACAGACAGATGAGACTCAGATGATCAGCTCTTCCAAACTGGTGCTTTGTTTCATTTATTTTCTGCATCAGTTGGAAAGGACCTACCAAGATCATCCAGTCCAGCTGCCTGACCACTTCAGGGTTGACCAACGCTTAGAGTATATCATTAATGGCATTGTTCAAATACCTCATAAATGCTGACAGGAATGGGTGATCCACCATGATCTACCACCTCCCTAGGAGTCAATGAATTGAATAGAATAGAATAGAATAGAATAGAATAGAATAGAATAGAATAGAATAGAATAGAATAGAATAGGTTTGTGTTGGAAAGGGACCTAAAGGATCATGTAATTCCAACCACTCTTCCATGGGCAGGGACACCTTTCATCAGACCAGATTGCTCAGAGCTCCATCCAACCTGACCTTAAACATTTCCAAAGATGGGGCCTCCTTAACTACTTCTTAACATGTTCCCATGTCTCATCACCCTCACAGGAAAGATTTTTTTTTCTCATCTCTAATCTAAACCTACTCCCTTTCAGTTTGAATCCATTCCCACTTGTCCTGTCATTATATGTTTTTGTAAATAATTCCTCTCCATCTCTCTTCATCATCTGTTCCCTTCAGGTACTAGGAGGCCGTAATTAGGTCACTGTGAAACCTCTTTTCCAGGCTGAATGAAGCAGAACTTTGGCTCTGCTTTAGCTTGTTTTCATGCCTTTACTGATGTATTCCTAACATTTATCACTGCCTGAAGTTACAAACACCTTATCATTCTGAGCAGTGATGAGAGGCTAGTTTGGGAGGAGAGAAAGGAGCTGCTGTTTCTAGCACATGGGTTGGAAGGAACAAAACATGTCATTCTACATGGAATGGAAGCTAAAGATACTGAAAAACATCTCTGCCTTCTTGCAATTTCAATTTCCCAGTTGCTCTGAACACCAGCTATGTAATTAGCTCAGTATTATCCAGGGGCTAGGGATACAGCCTGGTAGGGGCTCACTGTGGTTCGAACACTACTCTTTGAATAGGTAGTGAGAGTGCTAGGAGAAGACTTGCTTATCTTCAAAACTTTGTTAGGCTGCTGTGAAGATGCTGTTAGTTGTGTACATTAACAGAATCTCAGAGAGTTAAAAATCACTTCTGTAGGAAATGTGGGACAGCCTCATTAAAAAAAAAAAAAAAAAGGCATTGCTTGTTGTAAAAAAATTCTTCATTAGAGAATCCCCAGCTAAATAATTTCAGAATAAAGCTGATCAAACAATTTCTGATACTTCTTATTGGCTAATTCAGTACTATATTAAATGCCATATCAACACAATGCCTTCAGCCTTCATTATTAACGATCATTGCCATGGTCGTTATTCCACTGGGAGTCACTCAGAAGCTACAGTCCCTCTAGGGATTTCCCTATCTGACTTCACAATAATTGACCTAGCAAAAAAACCCTTTCTTTTTTCACTAAATGAACTTGAAGTTACATTAAACAGGGTGAGCTGATGAAACCACTCCTCACCACGGAAAAGGGAAAAAACACTCCTTGTGTTTCCCCTCCTCTCTGACCCCTAGCTCCTGCTCCCACCATGTAGGTAGCACTTGGCTCCTCCTTGTGACCTACTCAGCTCAGTAACACAGCACACAAGCACATCAAGAGTGAACATTTTCTATGAGCAGTGAGCTTCCTGAGCAGTGAGCTCAATTGGCTTGGGGAGGGGGCTGATAAATATTAAAGCAAGTAGAGAAGGAGAAAGAACTCTGTAGGAGCCAACAGCGCTTGCAACGAGGCCCTGTGAACAGAGGAGGAGCAAAACCTCCCCTTCTCGAGGGACAGCAAAATATTAGAAAAAGGGATTATGGAAATACATCTCAGAAAAGTTTAACCTCTGTTTCTTTCTCAAATGTGTAAGTGTTTACTTCTGTGAGTCTTATCAGGAATACTAGTCAGGGAAAGGAAGAATAATGAAATGCAGTGGAAACAGATTGTTATTTGTAAAATCACTGGAACAGTATTACCCAATAATATGGGTCTTTAGCATTTATAACTAGTTTCCAGTCATTCAATCAAATACTCTGAACATACTGAAGAGAATAATTTATTGTTATAACATATAAATTTTATACAGCACATTTATACAGACTGTAGAAGAAAATATTGTGAATAGAAAATACATTACTCATGGAACCGGTAAAATAACTTGAATACTCATTTTTCAGTATACAATGCATTATATAAAATAAGTTTTATTAATAAAATGTCATAATAAAAACTAAAAGTTGAATTAAAATGTATGAAAATATAAAAATGTACAAAAATATAAAAAATTCATTAAGTGAAACTATATTCTAGAAAGTAAGACTAGTCATACTAGGTCATGCACAGACCTAGTCCAGTTCTGTTACCAGTGATACTTAAAACTCCCAGAACAAGGCAGGTCATTATAAAGTATATTCTGTCTATGCCACCTGTTGAGAATTCACCTTCTTTCCTTCCTTTAGGCTCATCTCCTATATCAAGCATAGGAGATTAGAGGTCTCACCAAGAATTTCTTTCACGTCAGAGCAAATTCCTTTGGAAAATGTTCGTTCCTCATTTTATGCACTTCAATTTAAAATTTGCTTTCTTAGCCATAAAAATTGCATGCAGGTCCACTAATAATATCTCAACCAAACTGGCTTCATATAAAATAGTGGTACACAATTTATAGACATGGTTACACTCATAAATGATCTTAAACACTGAGAAGTAATTTACCATCAATACACCAAAACAAGTCCATTACACAAATACAGCATCTTATTTCTTCACATTTAAGACATAAGCTTAAAATTTATTATTTTATATTTTTTTTCCATGCTATACATTCTAAGTAGGCGCACAGCTGTCAGCACACTGGCTTTCTAAGTAACAAGATCTTGTTCTAGAGCAATGCTAAGTTAATCTATGGAGTACCTCCTTTATTTTTCCAGAGGAATGACTATTCTCTACTGACTTCAATCCCTTAGGGCTTCAGTATAACCCAATATTTCTTAATTTAAGCTTGTTTTTCATGTCATGGATAAAGTTTTTTTCCCAAAACATTAAAACATTACAGCTCTCATTTTCCTTGCCCATAAAAGCCATCATGTGCATCAGCAGCTATTTTATATCCTTTCTGCCCTCCTATGACCTACATTCAAAACTTCCCTTAGAAGAAAATCTTTATTCCCACTCAACAAGGTACTCTAAACCTAGCTTTAAAGAACTCTTTAATGCAATCTTAGTGAGACAGTAAGTCCAGTAGTAAGGAAGATCCTCCTGGATTTGGCAAATGTAAGTTCAGTGCTTGCTCCACAAAAGATTTTCTTAGCACTCTAGGCAGGTCATCTAGTGGGATGCATGATCTTAAATAACCTTTTTGAGTACAGACTTTAACATCTCTGTGCTTTGATATCCCAGCTGTAGTGGGAGAAATAAAACACCCTGTTTTTACCTGAGTGTTGTAAACATAAGAATGTAAAAATTAGAGGGCTCTTACACATCCTGGAATAAATATTTAGTGATAAGATCATCTTTATGAGCCTTGCAGGGATCTCATAGATGACAGAATTGAGCAAGTGTTCAGAATGTGTGTATACCAGAATGTATTCATTTTTTACAAGCAACAGGAAGATCTTGATTAAATTCTGGTGCAAAATGTAAACTACACAAAAAAAAGTGCTACACAAAAATACACTCTTGCATTATTAATTAAGAAATATAAGTAATAATTAAATTAAATAGAAAAATTAATACTACTACAATCAGTGCACTTTGTACTATTAAATTATTAAATACCATAAATAGTTCAAGCTTTCCTTAGTGTTCCAATTAAGTTTCAACTGCATATTACTCCATTATCAGTGGAATACCTGCAGCAAAGACAGGCTTGAAGAACATTACCTTCCAGTTTTTGCCTTCATTAGTAATTTTAGCAACACTGTTAACCAGAGTTTATAGAACCTTATTAGTTAGTATTTTCACTGTCATTAGTTGCAAGACAGACTGTTCATCTTTGAGGGATGGTTCCACAGCTCTAGGAAGCTGACTCAACACCCCTCCACAGCTGATGTACACTGCTACCTGCCCTTCCCACCCTTCCTTTCTGCCCCAGCACTGACCACTCACTCCTGATGCTTGTGCCATGCCAGCTCCACAGCTAATGAGGTCTTTTTGGGAACCACATTCAGTCAGCAGTGGATCATGTCAATTCACAACGAAGCCTGTTATAACCTGAACAAGGAAGGATGGGTGCTTGAGGAGACAAGAACACGTGGATCAGGAAGGATGGGAGCAAGAGCATGGGGAGCAAGTCTTTCTTGGCCACTGAGATAATTTATAGTCACTTCTGACTCTTGCCTTTAATGTGTTCCTTCAGTAACTGTAAAATAAGTTGAAAAGTTCAGTAGGTAGGGCAGGTTCATTCATACTAAAGCGATACTTTCAGTGCTTCTTTTCTGGAGTGCATTTGGTGTCTGCTGAAGAGTCACATCCCAGGCACATTCTTCAGATGTTTGGGTCTTCTTCTGCTGAAATTAGAAGATGGGACACTTGGACTAACACCAACATGTTCTTCACAAACTATGGCACAGCACACATCTATTGGCATAAGCATCCTCTCCTCAGAAGCCAAATAGCAGAATTGGCAACAATGGTCATTAACTTGTGCCTGGGAGATACTGGGCTTGTCAAGAAACTTTTTTTTTTTTTTTTAAGTAAAAAAATGCCTGCAATAAAGAACTTTTTTTTTTTTAAATGCTGATATAATTTAGACTTGAAATCCTTTAAAAATATGAAATGACCAGCCAAGGAGATTCTACAAATTATAGAGTACTGTGAGACTTGTAAACCCAGTGAAATGGTAGTGCCTGATTACTCAGTTCAGCTTTTGGCTTAAGATAAATGTCTAGGAGCAAGGCCAAAGAGGATACTAGACCAACCTGTCTCACATGCCATAGTAGCTCTCCAGAGAGTGTTAATGTATGGCACCAGTTAAAGCAGCATTACACTCTCTTTGTAAATATCTGCATCAGTAACATGATAGACAGGGGATTAACTTTCATAAATGCTTTGAGAATGGCAACTGTTTCATCCTTCCTGCATATTTTCAGGCTCATTCACATATTCCATGAAACTTTAATTATATGCTTTAAAATCACTATGAGGCCACCACATGTCCTGATGCTGCTTATATACCATGTCTCATGCTGAGTCTTTGTGAGACATTTCTCATTCTTGGGCTTATTCCTTCACTTATTATAAGTGAAGTCACTTATAACTTAAGCTAACTCTATACCGTGCATCCCAAGGTCAAACTAATTTCTCATGTTTGCATTTCCTGCTGAGGTTTTCCCTCCTAGTACATCAGTCAACTTGTCCCTGTACACAGGTTGAAGTTAAAAACTAGTGTGGATAATTGTAGAATCTGGGCTTGAAACCTGAGCTAAGTAACAGCTATAAGGTATTAATGTGGATCATGCTGCCAGCAAAGGCAGCTCAGGAGTCCAAACAGCATGCCTCTCTTTCCAGCTATGAAACAAGCACAGCCTCACAGCATTGCTGAGCCTCTTACAAAAGGAGAGAAAGAAGAAGGGGCCTCATGAAAGCAAAGAGAATAGGTGTAGAGGTGTTCTGCTAACCCCACAGTGAAGAAAATGTGTCACAGGTCTTGTATCTGACATCCACTGCTGCTGAAAGGGTGCAATTCTAGTTTGTGCCTGGCCACATCTTCTCAACTTCCCCTGGTGTTGGGGGTGTGCTGCTTCATCACCACAGTCAGCTGAAACAGCTTAGCTGAGAAAATATCTTTTGTGTGACTGTTTTTTTCCAGTTGGGTTAAGTGAATTTCTCTGAGTTTCTGCATGGCCACACTGGTACAACCACAAGGAAATCAATGGTGATGCACACCTGGGCAAGAAAAAGAAGAATCATTCTTTTTGGAAGTGTACTTTCTCAAATTGGCTAAAGGCGGTTGTGAAGCCACACAGCTGCATATGAACCCAGCACAAGTAAGTACCTTGCTGTGAATCAGCACATAAAACTAATTGCCAAACCCAGAAGACTTTAATTAGTTAGTGTAACACTGCACTTGCTAATGGCTAGTGCTGCAATGACCAGTGAGATCAGTATAGACCACCATGATTTGAAAGATCATGGCTTTTCTGAGACAAGCATTGTCAAGAACAAGCAAACTGAGAGAAAGCACAGATGTTAAATGTTTCTGAAGTCTTTCTGCAATTAAAAGTAGGAGATTACAAACTCTGTCAAAACAAAAATATTTTTTAAAATAAAAGTTGAAAATAAAGAATCCACAGTATGTCCTCTGATACAGAATAGCAGAAGGGATCAAACTGGCATAAGCTCCCGAGTTCCAGTTTTTTTGCTTCTAGAGCTGCTACCTGCTTTACTGTGCCAGCCATCTCAGCTTTACACAGAGACTGCAGGAACTTTGCACAAGGTTTCCAAACTTTGCACTGATCGCATGAAACAGAAGGTGTCAGGTTTGACTTTGGTTATCCCAGTTGTTCCCCTTCTCACTCTGTTTGAACCAGGAAAAATAGCTAGTGCAAGCCTTTGGGTGTGGACCAGGGAATTCTACTTAGAATAAAATTTATTGCCAAACTGACAAAATAGTTTAGCTGTTCATAGCCAAATATTTCACCTGCACCGCTGTGTAGTTTCAGCAGCCACTGTCTGGCTGTTTTCACTGTCTGGCTGTTTTCACTGTCTGGCTGTTTTCTCTCCCTTGTGATTGAATGCATATCTTCCCAAAGAGGGAGACTTAATGGTACTCAAAGAGTTTGGCACTTCATTCATTCATTCTCTTTAGTCATCTCAGTTAAGCAACAATGCAGAGCTTACTCAAGAACTGTGAGGTGCCCTTGTGAAGCTTCAGGACAGATGTTATTTCAGTGAGAATATCTTCCATTTTTTAATATGTAAAATATACAAATTAAACGAGAAATATCTCTCTTTCTCTCTCTCTTAATTATGTTTTAGTTATTATTTTTCAGGTAAGTAAAGAGAGAAGCAATTTCCATATTATATTTTAATTTTACTTTTAGTCATTTGTTTGGAAAGTTTAGTTTCATTGTAGGAAAAAAAAAAACAAAAAACAAAACAAAAAAAACCAGAAGGTATCTTTCATTATCTAGCAACTGAATTTAGCAGCGCTCATACATTTGTCATTGTCAGTATGTATTTCATCAGGAAACCACATGAGATGAATTAGATTTCCTGTTCAGCTTAGAGAGCAGCAGAAGGCATCTAGCCAGTGCAGAGTTGTTATCCACTGTTACAAGAGACATAACTCTGACATTACAACTTTTTAGTAGTTCTTCATGTGGAAACTAACATGAATGGGCTGCCTGATGTCACACTGGTTCTGTCCACTTCTGTGAGCTGCTTATTTCAACGTACAATAAATTCCCTGCCTAGAAAAGTTGTCTTTCATGCCAGGCAACTGTGTCTGTGCTCAAAAATATAAATTTAAATATACAGCTATAAATGAAGGTGTTCTTCTAAGGCAGATGGAGTGCTGTTCATGGCCTCATTCTTCTTATAAGAAGAAAAACTTGAACTCTGCAATTTCTTAGCAACAGCTTCTATGAGCACCACATAATTCCAAGGAGTATCCAAAAGCAGCTCTCTTTTTTTTTTTTTTCCTCACTTAATAACTGAAACTTGATGAAAAGAGAAGAATTCTGTTATGATTTAGAATGTGACTTTTAATTCTTTGGAAGTTAATCTTGGCAACCTACATGAAGCTCCTTACAAAAAAAGAAATCACTTCTCCTATTTCCATCATAATTTAACTCAAAGCCAAGGTAAACAGAAAGCCACTAAAGAAAACATAAAAGTATGACCAATGTAAAATGGCACTTCTTCACTGTTTTCTGATATTTTCTCCTTATAAGAGAAGAAGGAACAATTTGCAGTAATCACCTCCCACAACTCATAGCATCAAATATATATATTTAAAAGTCCAACAGCAAATAGGTGCTCTCCTCCAGAGAGGTTTAAATTTCACTAACAAAAATCAGTTACAATTGAAAGGTTATAACTATTTGGTGGAAGAGGTGTGGTTTGGGGTTTTTGTTGGTTTGTCTTATTATTATCCGGAGTGCTATCAGTGGCAGAAGAGCTATTCGGTTGAGTGATAAAGCTCACTTGCACACCCACAAAGATGCTCAGAGAGACAGTGGAAGGATGGGGAACCCAAATCGTACCCTGTTAGGCTACCCTCAGACACATCAAAGAAGCCATCAGACCACTGAGGATCAATCTTCGCAAGTCCAGAGGAACCAGGGAAGGCAGAATAGCAGGCAGGAACCTAGAATAATACAATCAAAGAATCATTTACATTGGAAAAGACATGTAAAATCATTGAGTCCAATTGTTAATCCAGTACTGACAAGTCCACCACTAAACAATGTCCTTAAGTGTCACATCTACATGTCTTTTAAATACCTCCACAGATGGTGATCCACCACTTCTTTGGGCAGCCTGTTTAAAGTCTTGGCAACTCTTTCAGAAAAGAAATTTTTCTTCGTATTCAATCTAAACCTTCCCTTGTGCAACTTGAGGCCTTTTCATCATGCCCTAACCCAGATTATCTGGGAAAAGAGGCTGAACTCCACCTGGCTACAGCCTCCCTTCAGGCAGGTGTAAACAGCAGTAAAGTTCCTCCTGAGCCTCCTTTTCTCCAGGATAAACAACCCCAGCTCCCACATAGGACATGCACTCCAGACCCTTCCCCAGCTCTGTTGCCCTTCTCTGGACACTCTCCAGCACCTCAGTGTCTTTCTTGTAGTGAGGGGCCCAAAACTGAACACTGGGTTCAAGGTGTTGCCTCACCAGAGACTGCTGACCACAGCACAACCTGAACCAAGGACTACCGAGAAACAAACACTTTATTCAGGCCCCTCCCTGAGTCCAGGTGGAAAAGCCATCACTATAAGGTACTGCAAGCAAGCACCTCTCTAGATCCCCCTTCAGACCAAGAAAAGGTCTGCCTAGGGCTGGGATGCATAATTCAGTGCAGGAGAAAAGCCGTTTCAAATTGTACAGGATTTACTACATAATGTTTAGAGGAGGATCCAGAGGCAGGAAAAGGGAGATGTTTAGGTGATTTGGGGAGGAGCAAGAGTAGGAAAACGGAGAGGTAAGGGGATAAAAATGGACAGTTGTGTGTAAATATAGTGTATTTCAATATTTATATGTCTCACTATCTCCATTATTTTTTTGTTCACGTTTTAATTCTTTTCCCACTGAATTATTTCAAAGAAGCAATTTGGCAACCAGTAATTTATTATAACATAGTTTGGATAGAGAAAATTAGTAAGTATCTATCTTCTTCCAATAAGCTTCAGCAATATTTAGAAGGAAAAGTCTGTTAAAGCTACAAAGAATACTAATAAAGTAGTTATACAACTTTCCTTCTGAAAAGTTATTTTACTTTATTTTGTCTTGTAAATTTTGTATTTAAAAGTGTTTACTTAATTTTCCCCTTTTGAAGCAACTGTCAAATATTAATATTGAGAACAGAGACACAATTTTTATGTTCACACAGTATCTAAATATTTACCTCAGATATTTTCTGTGAAGTGGTCCTAGAATTAAAACATTTATAACACTGCATTGCCATCACTGTTTTCAAGAATTCTTGAACAACAGGTAGTCTGAATAGGGGAGAATAAAATATCATCTTCAGAAAGGAAAAATCAGCAGTCAACATCATTTCAACATCAAGAACAATACTCTAATAAATTATTAAATTGACACTTTTAAAGCACCTGGAGGGTCAGTGAAAAAGAAACAGGCAGGAAATTTTTTTGAAAAAAAAGTTTGATAAACTGCTGTGTTTTCTTTCTTTAACAGATTATCAGGCTCATAGCAAATAAGGCAGCAGAAGAGATGTGTATTAACTTACAGGAGTTATTGGGCACTATCTTACTTGACATTCTCATTAACAGGGTACAGAAACATTTTGTCCTGGGCTAACTTGCTACACACATTATGTGCACAATTGCTTGCAGAAAATACTCCTAGACTTATTTTATTTTGCTTTCAAATAGAAAGGATATATAAGGATATATTCTATAGAATATATCCTATATTCTATATTCTATAGAATTCTGCTAGGGTCTGGCCAAAATCTGATCCAATGCAAAATTTTCACTTATGACTTGGTTGATAGAATGCAAAGCACACTCAAAAAAAAATGCCAAAGAAAAGGCGTGCAAGGGAGTGGAAGGATTAGAATTCAAAATGAATTTGATAAATGGGAGAAGTGGTCTGTAATCAATAATATGAAACTCAATAAATACAAGGACCAAGTACTATACTGAGGCTAGAAGAAAATCAAATGCATAAATACAAAATTGAGAAAATTAACAGCTCTGTAGAAAGAGACCTGGCTGTTACAATAAACCACATATGTAATATAATCAATGATACCACACTGATGGAAAACCAGAAAAACTCATCCTGGGACATTCTAATAGATATGTAATATGTAAGGAAGGATTAGTAATTGCTTTTCTTAACTCACCTTTCAGAAGCCTCTGTTTGGGGTATTCTAATACCTTTATTTTAAAAATACTTTTTAAATGGTTTTAAATATGGCAGGTGTGGAGATGATATTTCAACCTTCCAATATGTAGAGAATTCTGAAAAGCAGGGCTCCCTCTTCATGATTGTGCTTCATGACACTGAAGGCATGACAGAACCTTGCTGGCTTTAATCGCAGCTGGAAAGGTTTAGGATAAAACAGGGAAAATTCTGACTCTAAGGATAGCTACAGACAGAAATAGGTCACCAAAAAGCTGAGGTATAATCTCCACCATTCAACTTTCTAAGAAGAGGTTGGAAAAATACTCCTCAGAGTTTCTTCATTCCTTTGAGGAAGAGGCAAATAGTGGATCCTGGTGGATTTTAATTCTTGCTACTTTTGCTACAGTTCTCAAAGAAACAGAAAGTTGTAACTTAAATTAGCTATTTTTTTTAGTATTAAATATTTTCATGACAGTTTCTGACAGTGACTTGCCTTCCAGAAATTCATGCCCTAGTGGTCTGCTAGTTTTAAACAGTAACATCTGCAGAGGTTAGATCTCTTGCTGTCTTCAATCCATTCTCTCAAGACAGCTTAATGTATCTCTTGATGCCTGCAGGTCTTTGATTCCAAATATTTATCTTCTTTCGGATTTATTTCTGACCATTTGAATTTTACATTTCCTCACAGAACCTCTCTGACACATTTATCAACTACAGAATGCAGATGACCCTGTTCTTGACGCTTCCCCCTGGCATCATGGGAGCTGCTTTTAACTCTTTATCGGCTTATTTATTACTCAAATAAACTACTTGATGCAGTATGTTTGTTCTTTTAATCATTATACTATAGTGAAGTTAAATATTTACCAGGTTGATTTTAAGGATTTTATTTTCTAAAATAATTTGCCTTTGATTTCATGGTTTTATGCCTCTGGACACTCATTCTACAGTTAAGATTACTACACTAATCTTCACTATCTTGCAGCTACTGTGACAGAGAGAGTCAGCTATAATTACTTCTTAAATCAGATCTCATTTGTTACTTAGGACTAAATCTCTTGTGCACCAGCAAAGCTACCTACTGCTTAAAGCAGTCCTTTGTGATAACAAGAATTTGCTACTCTTACCTATATCCTTCAGTGGTATTTGAGCCATTAATCCTGGGTACTTGAAATTATCTATTAGTACAAGTATACTTCTATCTGGACCCTTGTTAGGGCACTTCTTTTACAAGGGTTATTCTTCTACAATAAAATCCACTGAGACTTGGAGCTAGGTAAAAATTCAGTCTATGGCTCAGGTTCTTGGTTCCCTCTCCTCAGAAATGTAATGAAAGGAAAACTGTATTAAAGAGCCAAGGTTAGAAAATATATTTGAGACTGTAGAATGTGCTTGTTTCATCTGCTTTTTTTTCTATTAGAGTTCAAGGAGGAAAAAATCTCTCTCCCATTCCCTCCTCCATCTACTGTACCTGCAGACTTTAATTTCCAGGTACATTAATTGATTTTCTCAAACAAGAACCAACATTGTAATTGACATGTCCCTCATGCAGTTTTCATCTACATTTACTAATACAAGACCTCTGCAGAACTGGGTCACCAGTGCCATGTACAAAATTTGGATTACAAATTGCAAATAACACAGAACATAGGGTGTCCTGCTTATGCCTATACATATTACAGGTCGAGCTGGCTCATCCTGGTTGAGCTTCATCCCACTTTCCCACTCTGGTACTTTGTAAACTCCCAGCCTGGTTTCACTGCAAGTGAGAGAAGACATGAATCCACGAGTTGGACTCAATGATCCTGATGGGTCTCTTCTAACTCAGCATAGACTGTGATTCTGTCTATGAACTGTTTAAATTGAACAGCTTTAAACAACTAATATAAAATGCCTTGGACCTATCACCACATCTGCCATCACAGTGTCTCCATTTTTGGAAAATGAACTGAGCAAAAAGCATGTGTGTGGGCAGAGCAGCAGTGCTTTCGGTGGCAGCACAGATGCAGGCAGACTTCCTGAGCCAGAAGAGTTTCCTGTACACAATGGGCCACATAAAATGAGACTGCAAAGTTGGCTACATCAGACACCACTTTCTGTGTAGTCATATATTGCCAATGATGACAAAGACAGGATCCATTAGAGCATCACATCTGGCTTCATGAGAAGAGTTCTGCAAATACAGATGAGGCAGCAAAAAGAGAGTTCTAGAATGAGAAGTACAATGTTAATGATGGTAAGTTCAGCCTTTTTCTTTTGGTGAGAAGACTAGTGTGTAAGCATGTTGTTGAGCAAGTAGAGGAAATAACTAGTCATGCAGAGACCCAAAACACAGTTCCCCTATCTCAGTGCCCTGGCAGCATTTTGGGACTGGAAAATCAACAGCAAGCGAGGTTATTTAGGAAATTTAAACAACCATTTTAGAAGGAAGTGGTAGTAGACTTGGATACATCCTCAGCTGCACTGATGGGGAAAAAGTTCTCTCCGCTATTGTGGCTTCTGCTGAGATAGAGTTAATTTTTTTTCCTAGTAGCTGGTACAGTACTGTAGGGTATGAGAACAATGTTGATAACACACTGATATTTTAGGTGCTGCTGAGAAATAATTACTCTAAATCAAGGACTTTCAGGTTTGCCAAGCTTTGCTAGTGAACAGATACGCAAGAAGCAAGAAAGAAGCACAGCCAGGACAGCTGACCAAACTAGACAAAGGGACATTCCATACCACAGGATACCATCCGCAGTACATAAATGGATGGAGTTGACAGGAGGAGACAATTGCTGCCCAGGCTTGGACTGAATGTTGGTTAACAGGTGGTGAGCAATTGCATTGTGCTTAATTTGTCTTTCTTGGGTTTAATTTTTATTTCTCTGTCTTTGTTACCAACCTTTTCATTATTACTATTATTATTAGCATTATATTATATTTTATGTTTGATGTCTAGTGTTTCATGTTTTATTTTAATTTTTAAACTGTTCTTATAAACCCAGAAGTTCCTCCTCCCCATCCCACCGGGGCCAGGGGGCAGTGAGTAAGTAGCTGAGTGTTACTTGCTGGCTGGGTTTAAACCACCACATCCACCAGTTCAGATCTCCAGGCTGTAGATCAAAAGGAAGGAGTCACTGTGTTGCAAGCTTTTGTAACAACCATGGAAGATAACACTAGGGTTAGGTGATACATGGAGGTACCTTGTATCTAGGTGTCCCATAGCTCTGTCTTGGACATGCTGACACAAGATGGTCCCTCAAGCTCCCAGCACACTGAGATCAACAGACTGACCCATTAGGGCCACTGGGGACCGTGCCTACTCCCTGGCAGTCAAGGTCATGAGCTCATCCATTGGCAATCTTCACTAAGACCTTTTCAGTTAATGATTTAATTATTTTCAAGTGGTCACTGGCTATGTGTACTTGTCTACCTCAAAGAAAAGTCCTTGATTTTTCTGTCAGACTTTATTCTACTCATAGCTTTCCTACATTTTTTGTTACGTATTTAAGGGTATCTATCTCCTCATCAGAAGGTATTGTTTCTCAAGGCTTTTCCTTCCCTACTTAATCTAGGACTGATGATGGTAGGATATGTCACACACTTAGCCAACAGGGACTCTCTGGCTTTGGAGAAAGGAGAAGGCAAGATGTCTGCAGAGACTTACACTTGCTGGAAGCTTGAGATAAGAGGAGAAAAGTCAAAAATACTTCATAGCAATGACAAGTAGGATCAAGTAACTCTCTGAGTTCAAATACACTTCACGCAAGGCTTGATTTCAGTCTTCTAACTTGTGATAGATTGGGCATAGAAAAGAATATAGAAGATAATTATCAGTCCCTTAAGGTATGCAGATCATCTCTGTGCTGGATGGCATGAATCTGGGTGTTGGAAAAACACATTTTTTACCTAGTAGGGGAAGCTCCTCAGTGAATGTCCTGAAGACAATTTCCACACTGTGTCTTTGGAATGCTGAAGTCCTGGATTGCAGCTGTCACCTGTTACTGTGACAAGAAAAAAAGTCTGATGACTTGAGTAATATCAGGTAGATTTCACTTTCCCTTCCTAAGCTAAAAGCTCACTTTCCCAATATCTGATACAATGTCATCCAATAGTCAGAGCTGATACAGTAGCAGGGTGCGGAGTGCATGGGCCCTGTCTAGAGCCACATGAATCCTGTTCAGAATAAGTGTTTGATTCAGTGCCTGAGACATACCTGCTTTCTCATAGTAACTGCAACACAGCAATGACATGAAAAAAATGCTAGAACATCAGGTCAGTGAGAAGCAGGTACAATTGAATGCAGTACAAGGAAGGGGAGCTTTGTGTTTCAGGCCTGGAGAAGTTAGGGCCATGGCAATCAGAACCGAAGCATTCATTTTTACCCCTTGTCTTCCTGAAGGCAGGATTCTTAATCCTGTGCTGTCTGTGGTCCGCCAGGCTGATACATTTGCAAAGAGAGGATGCTACAAAAAAATCATTCCTGAAGTTCCATGGTGTTGTCAATATATATTTTCCACAGAATCCAAATAGATCAAAAACCTCTTGCTTGGTTCACTTGGGATCACTTGCTTGGTTCACTTGTGCTTGCCAAGCACACAATTTCCACTGTGGCTCTGGTCCAGGCTCTGTCTGATCAGTAATGCTACACCATCACCAAAGTATAAGAGTGAATATGCACCCAAACCTGCATATATTTATTGTGAAACATTTGAGTTCCATGGCAAAGTAGCACCAAGAGCACAAAGGGAGCATGAAAGAGCTGGCAAAAGAGCCTTTGGGCTGGCAAATTGGCTTCATTCAGAAATATGGTTATCTGATTCTTGATCTTACACAATCCTGGCAGAAAAAAAAATCACTCCTTCATATGTTTATATAAATATTCTCACCACCAACCCCAGCTTCAGTCAGTGTGGTCTTATAATAGTTCAGCACCTTGTGTCTAAGGGCTGCAGCATTTTTAATCTAGTACAAGCTATTCTACAACTGAACTTACAGTTTTGTGAAGCCACCATGTCATTACTGTCCCTGCTGTTTGCAGCTGCTGGCCTCTCGTCTCTCTCTGTCCAAACGCAACCTATGTAAGTGCTGGCAGAGAGTAGAGAAGGGAACCAATGAAACTGGAGCACGCAGACAGCTGTCTTGCCCTCCCCCTTCACGCCCCCTCTTTTTTTTTTTTTCCCTTTGTAAAGATATTTGGTGTTGTTCTGTTCAGCATTACAAGCCTCACTGTGCCCTAGAGAGTCATGCCTAAATAGGTTCAAAAATATCAGTCAGTGTGTTAGGTAAAAAAAATCAATGAATGCTAAAGACAGCTTGAAGAGAAAGTCAGGAGTAATAAAGAAGAGAGTTTTGGAGCTTAAAAAGGGGGAGAAAAAATAATATAAAAGAAAATAAAAGAAAAGAAAGAAAGAATGCAACATACAGATGGGGATTTGGGGTGAAAGAATATTTTTGAGGTGGAGAAATGGGTGGCTATTAGAATAAGGAAAGAAAGTAGCAAAAAATAATGGGAAAAGGAAGACCCAGGGAATTCAATTCACACAGGAAAAAGTAAAGGAAATGAAAATATTAGGAAAACAGAAACAAGACACAGAAGAACTCACAAGCAAAAGAGACAGAAAACTCTATGGATAAAGAGAAAGGATAATTAAAGTATCAAAAACAAGGAGCTAAGCTCTTTGTAGTTAAAATATATACACACTGTGAGAGACACAAAGCAATAGAGACTCAGCATTAAGTGGATTTTCTTAGTTTGGGCTGTTGTGCTAACCAGCCACCCGCATGTGATACTATGCCTGAGCTACATCTTGCCAGGAACCTCATATTTCAGTGGGTCTCTGCTCACCCACACATTTCCATGTTGTGCTCTTTTTCTGGGTGACAACAGGCTTCTAATGTTCTGAAAGAAAGTGGTAATGAAAACCTTTTACTTATTTTTTTTCTGTTTCTGATGTTTTACTTTCATAGATCCCCATTAGCAGTTGGAACTCCTGTGCCAACAGACATTCATCCTCAGACCTTATCTTTCTTTCATATAACTCAACAGGTGGCTGCTGCTGACTTCAATCAAAGCCCACGGTGAACAACCATGTCAGGGTGCAAAGGGAAGGTACTGGTTCATGTGGGAACAATACTGAAAGAGGCAGACTCAGAAAGCTTAAGCTGGCAGAAAGAATTTGAGCAAGAGTGACATTTGGAATTTGGGAAAGAGTAGGTGGTATAGGAGTAACTATGGATGGTAAAAATAAAAAATGAAAATCATGGTGCCCCTACTGAAACCACCTACACCACCACCATCATATTTTATCTGTCACTTCAATCACTTGCTGAGTTGAGACAGATTTTACTCTTTGCACCCTAGAGCAAATTTTTCAAAAGTGCTGTACCTACAGCCTCAGATGGAAATCCAGTAAAAGTTTAAAAGATTACATAGGACTTAAAACCTCAGTCTCCCACAAAAAAAAAAAAAAAAAAAAAAAAAAAAGAGTGATCTTGATAGCACGTTTGCCTGTTCTTCATACATCCCCTCCTTCAGGAGGTGTCCCATACTCTGCTTCCCAGAGCTGAGTGCACAGGAAAGCTCTGATGCTCTGAACAGCCTGACCATACACTCCCACACACTGTCCAGGGGCTGGAGCTCTCATGGAGAGGCTGAGCCCTGTGAGCTTGGGGTGGCCCTATCTCTGGCCCTGTGCTGGAGGTGGCCCAGTCTCCTGCTCATCTGATGGCCACTGGATCACCAGCAGATCCTGTCACTACCTCAAACCTGCTGGGATGTGAAGGGTGGTGTCCTGACCAGGAGGGCTTTGTCGTGACTTGGTGCTGGACTCTCTAAGGAGGAAGCCCTAGTCTTGCTGCTCTCTGGCACTGACTAGGAGGCACTGGGATTTGGCTGAGCTTTAAACTGTGAGCTACCACCACTTGCTTGTCTGAACACAAATAATTCAGCATTTGTCATGATCCCTTTCCAACTGTTGTTGCTGTGAAACAAAAGAAACAATTGCCACAAAGATGGAGCAGGAATTCAAGCAGTTTTGGGGAAATTACAGATGAAAGAATGAAGCTTTAATTACATTCTTTAAAAGCACAATAGCGGGATGTCCTTAGAATCCCAATTCAAAACAACTGGGCTGGACAGTTTGGGGGAGCAAGAAGTGAAGGTACACTTACACTGTAGAAAACAAAGAAGAAACAATCTTAACTATGTTATGTGTGATACCTTTTCTTTGTACCTTTCTTTGGTATGTTGTTAGGAAATGGGACAATTTCAGGAACGTAGTTTTTAATTTTCACTACTACGGTGGGAAAGCTTTGAAAAAGTATGGAGCAATGCTCTGGTGATAAAACCACACCACAGTGACTGACACAAGAAAATAGCCTCTTTAGAAAATAGAAACCTTTAGAACTACAGAATTGTGACAGAATTCAGAAAATTACTCTGTCTAACCCTGCACTGAGGTGGAATCAAATACTCCCAGAGCAGCCTGGTACATTCACATCCTAACTCCCAAAAACTTCCTGTGAAGGAAGTTCCTTTGGCCCAACAGTTGGTCTGTTCTTGGTGTCTCACCACTACAATACAACATAATGGAGCAGAGATTCAGAGCATGGCTATGTTATGTTCATAGTAGGGAAAAAACATCATTCATTCACTGCTATGACAATGTAACACTTGAGTCGGATTCAATGATCCATGTGGGTCCCTCCAACCCAGACTATGCTGTCCTGTGATTTTCTACTTGTGCCCCGTGTTTTCTATCTGTACAATGTCTGGAAACAGCCTGTATCATGCTTATGTCTATCACTTTCTTACTCTACAATGGTATTTCTACATTTCCTCTCTTCCAAAGGGTTTCTTGGAGGTCTGGAGTAGGGATTGAGGGGAGGGTGGCCTCCTCCTTTTTAAGAATGAAACTGTTGAACAGCTGGTAAAGAACTGCTTTGGCACTTTCGTCTTTGACTTAGCACAAAATCATAGAATGGCCTGCATAGGGAGGGAACTTAAAGATCATCGAGTTCCAGCCCTTCTACCATGCAAGATTCATTCCACTAGGCCAGGTTGTTCAGAACTCCATCCAGCCTAGCCTTGAACACTTCCAGGGATGGAGCATCCACAACTCCTCTGGGCAGCCTGTTCCAGTGTCCCACCCCCTCCACAGTAAAGAATTTTTTCCTAGTATCTAATCTAAACCTACTCCCAGACTGAAGCCATAACCCCATTGTCCTAAAAATAGTTCTTGCAAATAGTGTCTCTCCATCTTTCTTGTAGGCTCCCTTTGGGTGCTGGAAGGTTAACCTTAAGCCTTCATTTTTTCCAGGCTGAAAACTCCCAAATCTCTCAGCTTTCCTTTGTAGGAGAGGTGCTCTGTGCCACCAATCATTATGGAGGCTGGTGATTTTGCACTTGACAAGGAACTTGAGCACATAGTATAAAACATTTGAACGGAAAAAATTTGCACAGGTGCACCAATTTTTTTTTCAAATCTGAATAAGGCTAACAGGCTTTGCCATGGAGGTTGGTTATTGTAGATCTCCCATAGCTGCCACGACCGGCTTCGGCTTGCCCAGCTATTGCTCCGAACCAGTCAGGCTGAGCGGGGCCGAAGCCGCAGGGAACAACGGCACAAGCATCGCGGGAAAACAACAGCAGCAGGGTAATTCATCTGGTTTTAATCCAACAGCAGCCAGTTTAGTGCAGCACAGCGTGCCGGGCACCGACTCCCGCTCGGTGAATCTGCAGCGAAGCTGAGCCCTGCCGCCTCAGGGCTGGCCCGCCCCGAACCGCGCCGGAGGCACCTGCCGGCCACGGCCGCCACGCATGCGCGCTCTTCGCCACCGCCACCCGGAACTACACATCCCGGCGTGCCGCGCGAGCCCGCCGCTGCGGCCGAGCCAATGGCGAGGGAGGAAGCAGTTCCCGCCTCCACGCAGCAGGTGTGGACGCAACCCCCGAGCCGCCCTTCCCCCGCCCGCGGGCGGAGGGCTGGCGCGGGAGGCTGTCACAAAGGAGCACAGGGGCGGCAGAGCGAACGGGCCCCGGCTGCCGTGCGGAAGCCGCAGGGGCGTCTCCTCCCCGCTCCCTGCGCAGCCGGGGAAGCGGCCGCGGGGGCCGCGCCTCAGGGGAAGCGGCGGCTCGGGGGCTTCCCGCGCGCTGTCAGTTACGAGCGCGCGAGGCGAGCGGGCACCACCGGGTTGGCCGGCGGCCGCGCGCGGCCCCGCCCGCCCCCTCGCCGGATTCGCTGGCGACCGGGGCGCGCGCGCCGTCCATCCTCGGCCCGAGCCGCGGCGGGACCCGGGGCCGAGGGCTCGGCCGGGCCCCGCCCCGCCCCGCCCGAGGCTCCGCCCCCCGCCCGCCCCTCCGCCCGGCGCTGTCAAGCGAGCGGCGCGAGCGCGGAGCCCGGGTCGCCCGCACGCCCCCGCCCCCGCGGAGCGCGCGCGCCTCGGCGGCCACGCCCCCTCCCGCGCGGCGCGGACGGGCCGAGGACCGGGAGGAGGAGGAGGAGGAGGAGGAGGAGGCCGAGGGCCCCGGGCTGCGGCCCGCCCCCGGCCCGCCCCCTGTGCCTGCGGCGTGGGGAGCCGGGCTGAGGCGGAGCGGGGCGACCGAGGGGCCGGCGGCTGGGCTCGGTTTCCTGCTCAGTGGGCGTCGTTGGGGCCCCGGCGGGCCCCGCCCCCGCGCCGCCCACCCCGGGCCCCAGCTGTCACTCAAGGCGGCGGGCTGAGGCCGGCGGCGGCGGCGGGCGGAGAGAGAGGCAGCTACGCCACAGCCCAGCGGCGGCCATTCGTGGAAAAATAGGCCGTCCCGCTCCTCCCAGCTCCGGCTGCGACCGGCCTTCTCCCCGCTACCCCCACCCCACCCTCCGCCTCCTCCTCCTTCTCCTCCCCCCTAGAGCGGCGCCTCAGCGGGGCATTAATGCGGGATGAGCGGTATGTAACCCCCTCCCTCTCTCCCTCCTGTGCACACCCCTCCCTCCCTCTGC